TTTCTTTGACTAAAACTCCCAAATTAGTAGATGAATGAAATGCTGTATATTAATATTTAACATGTAAAAAAAGATTGAGGCACTGCCTCTCATATATTGTTAACGACCCTCTATTCTTAACATGAACTGATATTGCTTTCTACTGTTACATGGACTAAAAGTTAACAGAAGGGTCATAAAGAAAAATGCTAAAGCAGATTTTTTTTTAAAAAAAAGTATTTCAATTTGTATGTCTGCCCATCACATTGTTATGACTTTTGGTGACTAGAATGTTGAACTGTAGTAAATAAAGCAGAAGAGGATGCAAAACTCATTTTATTTGACATTTCATTTCTAATCTGAATGGATTAGATCAAATAAGTTTATAAATAAGAGAGGAATTGGAAGAGAGAGTTGAAAGTATTGTTGCACAAGGAGAAAGCATAGCTAGACATAAGAGCAGAAAAAAAATACATGTATAATTATATAATGGGGGTGTGGCAGCCAAGCAGTTAAGGGCTTGGCAATTCAAGACCCAAGTACTGCATGATGGAGTAAGCTTAATAATAATAGTAGTAGTAGTAGTAGTAGTAGTAGTAGTAGTAAAGTTGGAAGGGACCTTGGAGGTCATCTAGTCCAACCCCCTGCTCAGGCAGGAAACCTCCAAGGTCCCTTCCAACTTTACTACTACTACTACTACTACTACTACTACTACTACTACTACTATTACTATTATTATTATTATTATTATTATTATTATTATTATTATTATTATTATTATCCTTTACTTGCCCCAGCTCCTACCAACTTAGCAGTTCAAAAGCATGTTAATGCAAGTAGATAAATGGGTACCACTTTGGTGGGAAGGTAACAGCATTCTGGGCGCCTTCCACATATAGTCAGGCCAGCCACATGACCATGAAAGCATCTTCAGGCAACACTGGCTCTTTGGTTGTGAATAAGTGCTTATCAAATATGATAAGCACTGCCTCCTAGAGTTGAACACAACTGGCAGGGGAAAACTTTATCTTTATAATGAAAACAGAAGTTCGTGGATAAGCTATGGCACTGAGTGAGATATTAATCATGAAATTGTAGCAGGGGGTGGAAGTGCTATCACTGCATTCAATCAAATGTACTTAATATGCTGAAAAATGAGCTTTGAAAAAAAAACCCTTCAAATTTCAATTATAAGTTAGTATTTCACAGCCCAAAGATATCACTAAAGATCTTTATTTAGGAGTAATTTTATACTTTTACAAATTCTCTATTTTACAATTAACTTGATTCATTAATGATATATGCATGATTTCATGTGACACTTCAAGCAATTAAAATTAGGCAAACAGCCTGAAGCAGGAGGAAAGACTGGTGGCTAAATGCTCATTTAGTTTCCTTGTATGCACATTGGATATAATTGGATTTTCTGAAAGCCACTGCCTTATTTATATTTACTTATTAGTGGAATTGTATGACTGCCCAATGCACTACAAAAATTCTGAATGGCTAGCAGTATATAAAAATATTAAACAAAATAATACGTGCAATCCCAGATTAACACCTAAATGGACATTTTCTGAACATGCTTTTTTAATTTAACACTATTTCCTTCCTGGTTGTCTCATACTCAATACAGACAAAATTAGCCCTACTGATATAAGAGAGAATTCTTTCAAAACCTTGTGAGTGCAAGATAAAAACAAATACGCGCACAGAGTAGTGACTCAAAACAAAAACAACACATATTGTATAAGTCACATGAATCTTAGTCATGATAAAGAAGGCAACAACTTTCATGAATAACTTGCCAAGAATGAAAGATAAATTCCAATAGAAAATATAAATTTTAAGTGAATCAATACCTGCATGACATAATTTCAATATGGAGAAATGTTACTTAATTTATATAAAGGCTGGAGGTTAGTGAACTTCTCACTGGTAATTTTATAAATAAGAAGTTCATATCCTGAAGCAAGTGAATGTACACAACAATAAATCAGGTAGGTGATATGAAGTTTAGGAGCATAGTAATGTTTTGTCAAGAGTCAGGCAGTGGCCAGGTACCAGACAATTGATTCTTTGAGGATTCAGAGACAATGAAACCAGTGAATTTGGAGAATGTAAGCTTTATTAATAATTTTAGCAGGCAGATTTTAACAGGAATATAAAGCATAACATACCAAGTAAGATGTTCTCCCTTCAGCTATTGAGAGCCCCCTTTGACAACAGTAGATATTCCAAAGGCTCAGGATGCACAGCACTGAGTGCTCAAGCTTAATTAGTGTAATGTAATTAGTACTAAAATGCGAATAGCCAGTCTACATGCCAATGGTGGAGTTCCGTTGTCCTTTACCATCACTACAAATCTTTATAACTCCTTTGTCCAAC